AGAAAAAAATTCAAACATCATCTATTAAATTACAAACGGAACATCAAATATCTATTTATATGACAACTGTACCAGAAGACAAATTTGTTGAGTTGTTTTTATTCAAAGATTATTTATTCTTAGATTGTTTTTTTTTAAGACTTCCAAAAGTAATTAATTCAACGACAAAAACATTTCTTCGAAGCACAATGACATTTCCCAAAAATAAAAAAAATGAAAAAATTGGTTTGAATTTTTTTTCGTTTTCTCTGAAGAAATATTAATGAAATATTTTGTAGAAAATCAATACAATTTATCAATATTTTACTGATCTTAGTTCATCATCTTCATCAAGTTCATCGAAAAAATCTTCAGCAAGTAGTGTTAGTACTACTAATAAAAAACAAACAAATTCATCAGTCACAACAAATGAAGAAGGAACAATAAATAGTCCATCATCACAGAAAGATCAACAATATCCACGATGCATTACAAAATTTGAAAATTTCTTCGATTCCAAAGTAGATTAACAATTCTGTTCATTTTTTTTGATTGTTTATTTTTTTTGAATATAGATTAAATGATGATCAAGGAAAATTATATGAAGAATTATTATCTGAACAACACGATTTAAATACCCAGGTCAATCACGCCGGATCAGATCCTGTGGGTTCCAAATAATTCCGACTGAAACCTATCTCAATTTTGTCGGAATTCTAACTAACGGATTCCGACGTCGGATCTGACATCGGATTTGCATAAAATTCGATCGAATCCTGTCTGTTTTTGTCGAATTTTACCGGATTCCGGTCCGGATATCGTCGGAATCCGTTAGTTAGGATTTATTGACCTGGGTAATCATATTCCATTACATATTATTCGTCTTCAACAATTTGAAAATCAATTAAAACAACAACAATCTTATTTAACAAATAAAAAAATATTAAATGAAATTATTAAATTTATTCAAAATAAATTTTTATTTTTATTTAATGAAGATTTAATTTTATAATTTTTTGGTCAAAAAAAA